CTACAGAAAATATGTAAATGAAGGGGTGTGGCTGTGTGCCAATAAAACTTTATTGACAAAAATAGGCTTCCAGCCAAACTTGGCCCTATAGCTTGCCAGCCCCTGTGCTAGCCCTCCATTCCCACCAAGCCCCTAAGGAAACCCTGGGTGTGGTGGCCCCAGGACACGTCCCTGGTCATCCCTCCCTCAGAGTTCCTAAAGGGTTTGAAGAGAGCTCTCACACTGTTCCCCGGCTCCTCCTGCCATCCTGGGGGGTGGGCAGCAAGCGTCCTGGCCCAGGTCTTCCGTTGAGGAAACAGGCTCAGAGAGGCTGAGGAACCTCCCAGAGGCCGCACGGCTGCCCAGGGCTGAGCCCACCTCGACGGGCTCTGGGGGCAGGCGGCCTCACCCAGCGTGGCAGGCACTCTGCTGCACCCGCCTCTCACAGTGAGCTGCGCCCTGGGTGGGCTGGTCCCTCCCTCTGCAGCCAGGAAGCTGCTCCAGGCCTAGTTGCTCCTTCTCAGAAGCCCTGACCTGTGCCCGTGCTTTGCTGCGTCCTCTTCCATCCCTGACTATTAGGCAAGGTGCTGGGCCCCATTTTGTAGGTGATAAAACCGACTCGTTCAGCCCATGGTGGGTGGCAAGAGAATTGGGCCAGAGCCCGAGATAGCCTTGTGCTCCCGGAGGTGAAGAGACCCTGCTGGAGTCATGGGCGACTCTGGGCAGGCTGCTTAGGTGACATGGTGATGTCCCAGCAGAGGGTGTGGCCCTGGGCAAGGCAGAGAAGACCAAGTCCTGGGTGCTGCAGGGAAGGCCTGGGCGAGGGTCCACAGGCCGGAGCAGCGTCTCCAGGACTGCAGGAATGCCACTGGGGTGCCCGGGCCCAGCCCTCCTGGCTTGGCTCACAGCACATTTAGCAGAGTTAGGTCCCTGAGAGGGAGGAAGTGTTCATCGTCCCGAGTCCTCTGCTGGCTAATGCAAACGGTCACCCTGCCCGCCTCACTCACACTGATGGGGGTGGGGGCGCTGCGTGAGCACCTTCCTGCCTCCTCCAGGCCGTCTGGGGGACAACTTTGGAGGCTTGCAAAGGCCCCCACTCCCAAGGCCCTCCCACCACTGCCTCTGCCCAGTTCCCACCTCCTGAGGACTGCTGGGGGGGCTATCATCCCACATACGTGTTCCTCCCAGGAGCTCCCAGGGACAAGGTCACCCCAGGGACCATGTCACACACACACACATAGCCCAACGCAGCCCCGTGCTTCCCAGGATGGCCGCCTCCTCCCCCCCAGGCCCCGACCCTCCCCTGCACACCCTGGACCTCGTGGCCAAGCCTCAGCAAAATCCCCTCTAAATGCCCCCTCCTGGTCCTCCTCTGCCTGAGGCCTGGCTGCCCCGGGGCCCCGCCTGGCCTGCAGCCTTGGCAGGACTGTCCCCTTGCCCTCCCCGAGGACCCACCACCGGGGTCAGCAGCAGGACCCCAGTCAGGCCAGGCTCCTCCTTGCTCCTCACTGCCAGCGGGCCCCCTCCCTGAAACACCCACTTTGGATCTCCAGCCATCGGGCAGAACAGCCCTGCTGTCCCTCCGGCGGGCACTGTTCTCACACACGCACCCCGTAGTCCCACAGGAACGTCAGCTCCTGGAGGACAGGGCCGTCCACCTTGCTCCCTGCTGAGTCTCCGGGGTGGACAGGTCAACAAGTATTTGACGAAGGCAAGAAGGGGCTGGCCCCACCGCCTCCCTGTGCTGAGGGCGCCTCTCCTCTCCTCTCGGGCCTGGCTTGGCCTCTCCGGGTGCCTCCAAGAAGCCCAGCCCAGGAGCTGGTTCCCAGCTCCCAACACCAGGGTCAGGAGCGGGAGGCCAGCCGGGAATCTGGCCCCGCTGGATAAACAGGAGCGGTGGCAGTAGCTGCCTGGGCTCTCAATTTTCACAAGCACCATTTCCCCAAAGCCCACAGTGGCGTCTTGTATTGCTGAGCGGAACCATCGTTTAAGGGCCACCGTCCCAGACAGCATCGGTCTCGCTGGGTGACAGCCCACTTTGGATAAATTCACAACTTCTCTTGCTAACAAGGCGATGGTATTGAGACTTGAAGGCAAGCCAGGCTGTGGGTTTTCAACCGAGCATCGACGTCCTAAAGTTGAGGAGGCCAATTAAAGAACTCCTTCTGAGCCTTTGAAATACTGATAAAGGACACATTCTTGTCTGGGATTGAACTGGAATCCTTGACAAGGCAGCCGACCTTGCCGCGGGCTCTCAGTTCCTCTGATGTGTCTGCCTTTTAGGAACACAGACATGGCTCCCTCGGGGGAGGGACGAGCGTATCTTGTTTCTGTGCATTTGTTCGAAGGCTCTGACTGACGCTTGTCGACATGTCGTTCATTCATTCGTTCATTTGTCCACCACCTGCATCGCCTGAACCCTATTTACCTGGATGCCGTCATCCGCAGGCAGCGGGCTCGGTGTCCCCCGTGCCTCGCTCGCTAAGCACGGCACTGGTTGTTCTGGTGAAGCTGTGTGTCACGTTGTCTCCTCACCCTGGCTCTGTGACTCTGGGAACGGAACCTTCTGGGCCTCGGTGTCATCTGTCCGTGAAGGACCCACCTGCAGCAGTCACTATCAATTGGACAGACGTGCCGGCGTGGCCGTCCTTCTTTGTCGCCACAGGACGTGGACATGATGGGCTGAGCTGCAGCGTTCTGACGTCAAGGAGGCCAGAGACGGACAGAGCCACCAACCTCAATGTCGCCGAGACACAGAACCACTGACGGCCACCCGTAGCCTTCAGTCCCCTGTGTTCTGAGAAAATCAAGCCCCTGTGTTCAAGCCACTGTTGTCCAGTTTTCTGTTTGTTGCACCCCAGGACCCCCTCCCCAACCGCCAGCTGAGGCTTACATTTTAAAGTACTCAGGGCAGAAACCATGGCAACAATCGGGACCCAGAGCCAGGCTTAAAGTGCCCGGTCTCTCCAAGGGGCACGAAGCTCCTGATGGAGAGAACCGGAGGCCAGGATGCAGCGCCCATCAGCTGGCAGCCAAGGCAGGTCCCGCTGCCCCCGTGTCGTCCAGGAGAAGACAGTCCCCACGGACAGGGACATGCAGGAAGCCAGCCCAGCCAGCCAGCCCTGCACTGGGGGCAGTCTGTGGTACATGCAAAGGCTTTGCATAGACATCTGCAGGGGCCTCCCCTTTGAGCTGAAGTCAGCGCTGGATGCATAGTGGGAAAAATTCCAGATGGTGGCTGCAAATTCAGAGCCATAAAAACACCTGGATGGTGGAGGATGAGCGGCTGGCTGCCCAACACGCTCCACCAGGTACCCTGGGTTTTTGAAACTCACTCAAAGGTGACGAGTTAGGTCTGGAGCAGGCAGAGGCCCAGGGCAGCCGCGAGTGCGCGAGAAGGCTTTCCTTTGGCATAAAGTGACAGTGTCTGCTGTAGGATGTGAAAGGGCATGTTTGGGCTTAAGCCCCCTCCAGGCGGGCACAAAGCAGGAGAGTCATCTCAGCCGTAACCGCGAGGCGCTGTGCCGCGGCAGGTGTCTGTGGCAGGGAGCCTTGTAAGGCTTGGGTGCCCACTTCTGGCTGAAATCAGGCAGGTGCAAAAGAGACCCACAAGGATGAGGGGCTGGAGGCAAGCTGCCTGGGACTGTCCCTTCAAGCCCGTCTCTGGACTCCTTCCTTCCCCTCCTGTGACCCTGCCCACAGTGACTGGGCTTAGAGGTCATCCTTTGGGGAGAGGCAAGCCCAGCCCCTGGCCGGTTCCTGTGTGGCCTAACACCAGGCCTAGCACCTGGGGCTCAACCCTTAGGACCGACGCTCTGGGCCCTCCCTTTGTGGCACCCACGGTCTCTTGCCCTCTTTTGCTTCAGTTTCTTCATCTGTGCAATGGGGATAAGAATAGGACTATTCTGAGGAACAGGTGACACCATGCATGGGCAGTGCCTGGCACGGCCCCTGGCACATAGTGGGCATCAGCAATCATAGCTGGGGCTGCGCTGGTGTGAACACAACCAGAAATCCCCAGATATTGGTCCAAACTTTGTCTCCAGGTTTGGTGGCTCAAAAGCACACTACACAGTGACAGGACTGGCCACGGAATTGGCAGGGCCTGGTGTTCACAATGCGGGCCCTTGTTCACAAGTTATTGAGAGTTTCAAGACGGTGACAACAGAGCATTGAACCGAGCTCAGGGCCCTTCTGAGCGTGCTGCACGGGCCACACGCCCGTGAAGCCGGCCCTGAGCAGCGATTCTTGGCCAGTAGGAAGTGCTCAGATTTCTGTCTCCACCCCAACACACACACACACACACACACACACACACACACACACACAGTGCCCTTCCCTGCACACAACCATCGCTGCCGCATGAACCACTTCCCTCTGGGGGGTGGCTCGCAGCCCTCACTGTGCTGTGGCAGGAAAAGGGGCTGAGGCTCCACGTCTGGTCACCTGCACATCTGCAGCTGCTGACCCCGGGCCTGTGTCAGGGACTGCCAGGATGGCAAGAGTCCAGAAGTGATTCTCCTCAGGAAACCCTTTGCAGCTGCCACTCTACTGTGGTTTATTCCCCACGTTGCAAGCACATCCCTGTGGTCTCTTGTTCGTCTCAGCTATCCGCACTGGTCCTCTGCTGCATATGGGAAAGGCCTGAAGGGGGTTTAGGAGAGAGGCCTGGTGCACACTCGTGTGTGTGTGTGTGTGTGTGTGTGTGTAAGGCTCGGTTTGGAGGTGGATATGTGCAGACGTGAGCCGCAGGGCCTGCTGGGCCTCCGCTGGAGGAACCAGAGCCCTCTCTACATGCCGCCTTGCCATCATGAATGTGAGAAGGGCCACCCACGGGAATCACCATGTCTGGGAGCAGCTGGAGGTGAAGGCACCTCCCCAGGGTTGGTAGAGAGTCTCTCCTGACCCCTCCAGGCTTCCACACGGGTCCATAACATTCTCTTTTCTTATGCTTTGCAGTACGCAGGGGACTCCAGGCTTCCACACGGGTCCATAACATTCTCTTTTCTTACGCTTTGCAGTACGCAGGGGAAGTCCCTGAAAACCGGGTGGAGACGGTGGTGGCAAACCTCACCGTGATGGACCGAGATCAGCCCCATTCGCCAAACTGGAACGCCGTCTACCGTATCATCAGCGGGGACCCCTCGGGGCACTTCAGCATCCGCACGGACCCTGTCACCAACGAGGGCATGGTCACCGTGGTGAAGGTGGGTCCTCTCCTCACTTCCTGCAGGCGTCCTGAGCTCTGCCCCCTGCCCCGGAGCCTGGAACAAATTTAACAGAAACGATACTCGGGTGAAGTGCATGTCACCCCTAACATCCAAGGGCAAAGGACCGTACCCAACCTGCCGGTGGCAGAAACAACCTTCACAAGGACCTGGTCATGTGACCACCAGGGACTCGGTGGGCCTGACCTGCCACCCCCCCAAAAAGGCTACTCTCCCACTCCCTCCCTGAAGGCCACTTCCCCTTAATCTATTAATGGGCGAAGTCCATTAAGAGACTTTCTAATGTTAAAACATCCTTGCATTCCTGAGATAAATCCAACTTAGTCATGAAGGAGTATTTCTTTTTAATTCATTACAGGACTTGTTTTGCTAATATCTAAAGATTTTTCATGTATTTTTCTGAGCAATTTAGGGCCTATACTTTTCCTTTCCCACACTGTCTTTATCTGGGTTTTGGTATCAAGATTATAGACTAATCTCAAGAAATGTGTTGGGGATAGGGAGGGGTTGATTTCAGGGGCAGCATGAGGGGATTTGGGGGCTGGAACTCTTCTATATCTTGATCCTGGTGGTGGATACATGACTCTCCACACTTGTCAAAATTCACGAGTGAATCTAACTGTGTATAAATTTAGAAATAAATTTTAAAATTCTTCGAGCTGAGAGCACACACAGCCACACTGTCCCCATGAAGTCATGGATCACCGTGTCCTGGACAGAATTCAGCTGTTGGCGGCACACTTTCCCCGTTTTTCTTTCATTTTTATTTTTATTCCATACAGTGCTTTTCTCTAAAATTTAAAGTCTGTTTAACGCAAGATGTCTCATCTTAGAAAACATTTTCAAATTGGTTTTGCCTTCTTGGGTGGAGACACCATCCTTTCAAACATTCTCTTTCAGAGGTGGGTGGCAGGTGGGGGCCGGGGAGTGGCGGGGGCACGGGAGGTGGAGGGGCATTTAGGGGACCTGGCAGCCCAGCCACAGGGGAGGTCTAATGCCTTGGGGGCTTTTGTTCATGGACTCCCATGCTGGTTCTTCACTCACTTATCCCTGGCACAGGCTGGTCGCCCTCTCTGTGCTTTAGTTTTCTCATACATACAATGAGAGTAATTGTGGCTGATGCCCAGGTTTATTGCTAACATTAAAATAGATCCTGGATATAAAAGATGTGGTACAGTGCCTGGCACAGTAAGAGCTCAGTCAATAATCAGAATTAGCTGCTGTCGTCATTGGCACCATCGTCATTGTCATCACCGTTGCCGTTGCCATGGACTGATTGTTCTTCCTGGCTGGTTCCCCAGTGCATGATGAAGTCACTTTAATTCCATGCAGGGTCCCCGGGTCCCTTAGGAGCAGCAGGCGCTGTGCTGTGTACGTACACTGCAGACCCGACCCCGTCACTGCCCCGGCCCTGCAGGGGTTTGTAGTCTGCCGAGGGGATTTGGAGAAAGAATTTCGGAGATGTTCTCATGGCAGGGATGCGCTGGAGGCCACAAACCCAGCAACGCATGCAGCGTGGCTTTCCTTCTCTAAAACAACTTAGCTTCTATTTCTAGCCCCTGTGTCCCCAGGTGGTGGTAACTCCCAGATTGGACCTCCTCTGCTTCCCTTTTCCCACAGTTGTGTCTGTGTTCAGAGCCAACACGGCGCCCGTGTAGGGCTGAGGGCTGAGGCGGTGCCCGTGTAGGGCTGACGCAGTGCCCATGTAGGGCTGACGCAGTGCCTATGTAGGGCTGAGGGCCGACACCGTGCCCCTGTAAGGCTGAGGGCTGACGAAGTGCCCGTGTAGGGCTAAGGGCCAAGGCAGTGCCCTTGTAGGGCTGACGCAGTGCCCATGTAGGGCTGAGGGCTGATGCAGTGCCCATGTAGGGGGAGGAGAGGGCTCCTGGGCTACTGCAGAGATGTCTGTGGTCAGTTCGGCCCTCACCCTTCAGTCACAGATCCTGGCTGCATCGTCCCTCCGCCCTGAAGTCCAGCTGGGTCACTGTCAAAGGAAGTCCACGGTCATCTCAGGCAGGTCTTCCTGATCCCTGCCCTGCCCCCGACACTCCCCAACTCTATCCTCTGGTGACACTAGGCCTGGGGCCCCAGGAGCCTCGCCACCTCTCAGGCTCTACCCAATTTGGGGCACACAGCTCCCCTGCTCTCAGATTCACAGCCCCAGTGGGGTATCTGTCACCGTCCTCCTCCTCCTCAGGAGCCCCCACTGCCTCTTCCCTGCCCCTCACCTCTCCTCTCCCTCCTCCAGCCATGAAATCGCAATCTCCTCCAAGGAGAAAACCACAGGCTCAGACTGACCACGGGTTCTTTCCTGCCTCATGGTTGGTCCCCAGCTTTTCAAGCTCAAATCCAAGAATTGTCCTCTCCTGCTTTCTCTCTCAGTGGCAACAAGGCTTGCCTGAGGCAGGACTGAGTGTGGTCCAGATGCCTGAAGGTGGGTCGCGGGCGGCGAGAACACCAGGGGAGCAGGTGGGTTGGGGGTCGTGGCCCCTCCGGCCCCTCCTTCCCTCCAGCCCCCAGCAGTTCTTCCAGTCCCCGCTCCCAGAGCAAGGCTGGGAAGGGAACGGCTTGGCCCCGAGCCTCCCATTGGAGGGGAGCAGAGCGCTGAGCCCTGGTGCTCCACGTGCCCTGTCGCCCCGCCCTCCAGCCGGGTGCCCCCCAGCCCCACCCCACACGCCTGGGCCCTCACTGAGCTGCTTCTCCTCACCGCGCAGACCCAGCCCCTGGCCTTTGAGCAAAGGTCACTGCCATGTCGGGGGAGACCCGGGGAGTATATCTAACCGCTCTCGTTGAAACTGTTGAAGCAAATTACCTATTGATTTCTCCATTACAAATGTGTTTTATTTTGCCCTCCTATGAAATTTTATTGGCCATAATAGTCTTTCTGGAAGGCGTCCTCGCTCAGACTGGTGACAATTTTTAATGCATGACATGCAGCATTATTCCATGCCCTCCAGGGACACGAGCCAATAAATTTGGGAGAAAGATCACTTCCTTTAGTGGCTTGTTCATAGACGAAACCACCATGATTTTATGAAACAATATATTTACATAGAGTAGCCCCCACCGCTGGTCAACTCTCAGAGCGCCCTGAGGGAGGGCTTTGGCAGCTGTTCAGCTCTGGACACAGTATGGGTGCAGGCGGGTGCTCTGTGTTTGGAGGCCTCCAGAGTCCAGAGATGGAGGAGGCAAGCCCGCACCGGGGGGAGGGTTCATGGTCTCTGGCCTGACGTCCCCAGTAGGACCTTTCAGGTGAGGGGTGCCAGGTTATTCTGCATTGGGTGCCTCGTCAGCCTGGCGACCAGCTTGGGCCATTGAGGGTCCTGCCAGAGTGACACCTGGCGGTGCAAATCTCTTCCATAGACATGCACGTGAGCAGCACCCAATGTTGTGCTAGACAATGAGCAAATGCTGGACGAGGGGGTGTCAGATCGTCCCCTTACATCCCCTGGGCACCCATGGGGTATGGCTGACCCCCACGGGCACCGTGGTAAGCACCAGGCAGCCCCCACCCCAAGGGGCTTGAAGAGATGGGGGTGGGGATCCCAAAACAGCATGGGTGGGACATCAGTGTGATGAGGCGACACCAGGAGGGACGCGGCATCTCACGGGGGCTCTAGGAGGCATGCAGGGACCACCTCCTCCTTCGATGGACAAGGAGACCATGCCTGGAGAGGATGAGGGCTCCCCCAACGCCACCTAGGGACAGTGCGGGGACGATGGAGGCGTCAGCCCCAGAACCCCGATCTCTGCCCCTGTGCCCAGACCCCCCTGTAGGGCAGGCCTCAGGCTCTCGTGAAGCACCATCTCAATTCTCTTTCCACGCCCATTGGTACTATTACTTACTTAACTTTTTAATTCCTTCTTTTTGTACTTAATACCTTATTTAGAGGGCACGGCTTTGACGTACCAGGTATACAATTCTAAATGCTCACAAAAATCAAATGCCGAGCTGCTGTGGGAGCCCAGAGATGGGGCTGGGTTTGGATCAGATCAGCGGGGGTGCAGCACAGCTGGGCCTGAGCAGCAGGGAGAGATCAGAGCAAGGCCGACCCTGCGGGGTGGGCCCCAGCACCAGCGACCACAGGTTTCACGGCAAAAACTGGTTACACAAGCAGATAAATTTCTCTTTAAGCAGAAATGTGTTATACTGTTTATCATGAAAATTTCCAAGCGTCCCCAGAAGTAAGAGAGACGGGGTAACCTCATCTGCCACCTCAATTTCACCATTATTAGCATATTGCCATGTTGCTTCATCTACATTTTTTGCTGAAGTATGTTTTTAACTCCCAGACCTCATGATCCTCCCCCTCTAAAAATGTCAGGATGCATCACCCTCTAAAATACACTTTGCTGACATAACCACACACTGTTATCACACCTGACAAAATCAACCATATTTCCTCCATATTCGCCAATACACGTCTATATTCAATTTCCCTTAATTTCCTAAAACTGTCTCTTTGCAATACAGTTTTTCAAATCTGGATCCAAACAGGGTCCCCACATTACATTTGGTTGTAACATCATAATCTAGAACATTCCACTCACCTTTGACCTGTCATAGACGCAGGGTCAGTTGGCCTACGGGAGGCCCCACATGCCGGATTTGTCCAGCCACTGCATGGTGTACCTGGCTCCTCGCTCTCCTGCACTTCCCATAACCTGGGGCTTAGACCTGAAGGGTCTGTCGGTGGGAGGGGCCTTGTGGCTGGAGCTGAGTCCTATCAGGAGGCCCTTGGTGCCTGGTGGTCCTGCTCACGGTCACCTAAGCCTGACCAGTGGGCCACGTGCTGACAGCCTGGCCCTCATTGTAGAACTGACTTTCCCCTTATGACCAGCGAGCACTCTGCAGTGGGATAATTCGTGCCTGCGGGTCTCCATCAGCCTCCATCTGTTGGCTTTATCACCTATTGACGGTCATTGTCCAAATTAATTTCTTCATTAGCGGGTACAAAATGGTGCTTTTACAACTCTATCACTCCTCGGTTGGAATTCTTCTGTACAAAGAGCTCTCCCTCATCAACAAGGGCCCTGCGATGACACTGACATGTGGGCCTGCATTTGTCAGAACAACGGCCCCCACAGGTGCCCAGGCCTTAGTCCCCAGAACCTGGGAAGATATGGCCAAAGGGACTTCGCAGATGGATTAAGTTAAGGACCTTGAGATGGGAGAGTACCCTGGAGAATCCAGGTGGCCCGTCAGGGTCCTTACACGAGGGAAGCAGGAGGATCAGAGTCAGGGGAGGCGTTAGGACGAAGCCGAGGTCAGAGAGAGAGAGACTGCAAGATGCTAGTTACTGCTTTGAAGACGGAGGGGGCCAAGGGCACAGGCGGCCCCCAGGAGCCAGAAAAGGCAGGAAACAGACTCTCCCCGGAGCCTCCAGAAGGAACCAGCCCTGCCCACACCTGACCTCAGCCCAGAGACACCGATTTTTGACTTCTGGCCTCCAAAACTGTAAGATGACAAGTTTGTGTTGTGTTAAGCCACTAAATAGGAACAGGAAACCAATAGAGAGTTCACCAGAAAAAGCGAGATAAAAGCTTCAGTTTTTACCTTTAATCACCAATTCTCTGAGTAAAAGTGGGGCACTAGCAACTGTCGGTGGTCACCCTCTGAGTTCCTGGTGCTGCTGTGACAGATCATGTCAGGCTGCGTGGCTTAACACAACACGTGTTTATTCTCTCACACCTCTGGAAGTCAGAAGTCCAAAACCCATTTCACTGGCCAAAATCAAGGTGGCAGCAGAGCCGTGCTCCCTCCGGAGGCTCTGAGTGACTCCATTTGCTTGCTTTTTCCAGTTTAGAGAGCTGCATTCCTAGGCTTGTGGACCCTTCCTCCATCTTCAAAGCCAGAACCACCTTTGCCTCAGTCCTCACATTGCCTTCTGCTGTGTCAGTGTCCCTCTGTCTCCCTCTTACAAAGACCCTTGAGATTGCATTTGGGGCCCACCCAGATAATCCAGGATAATCTCCCATCTCAAGATCCCTAACTTCATCATGTCTGCAAAGTCCCTATTACCACGGAAGGTGACATATTCACAGATCCCAGAGATTAGGAACTAGATATATTTGGAGGCAGTTAATCAGCCAACCACAGTGATAAATGAAATTGTGTGTGTGTTTTTCTCATAAGTGTTATTTTCTCATAACTGTTAAGAATGCGTGGATTTTCTACATTCAGTGTGTTTTGGTCAGCTGGAGGGCTTATGGGTTGTGGCTAGTGGGCACCTCCTCTGGCTGGTTCCTGGGTCCTTCCACCACAAGCCAGCTATTCCTAAGGACGTCCCTGCATTGTGGCCAAGTAGACACCAGGTTCATCCTGTTGATTTCTTGCCTCACGTCTGGATTGGGTATTTCTCCAGTGAGGAGTGGTATTTAGAAACCAACATCTGTGCACAACAGGTGCTCCCTGCTGCTGGCGGCCACTGCCTCTGCCATTGCTTTCCGGGGCAGAGTGACGAAGTAACATTTCAAAGCACATGCTCAAACTGACTATCTCACGTTTATTTCACTGATTCAAATGATCACTTCATTCAAATTTAATGTCAGAGGGTTTTTACTTAATTTCATTGATTTTTATACTTGTATCTCATTTCTTTTACACTAAAAATCTTGGTTCCTAACAATATTAATATAATTGCTTACTTACTTTATCCTACAATATACATAAAAAGCTTAAAAAATAACAAATCCAAAATCACTACCAAGAGCAAGAAGACCACATGAGTTTAAGATTTCTTTTTTTTTTTTTTTTTGCAATGATTCTTGTCCTTAGAATAAATCACATTAAGGTTTCACCATCTAAATACTGTCCTAGCCACCAGAAATCATTATTTTCTTGGGAGATATACTACCCATTCGTATACAATTAGTTTCGTTTAATTCAATTTGTTTGTAATTTTCAGAGGTTGCGTTATATATGTAATTTTATTTGTAATACCTAAAATGCGAGAATGTAAGATATTATCTGGCTCCAAAATCAAAGCAATGTGACAAGACGTATGTAGCACACTCATGCCCCAGCTCTTCCCTCCCCGATTCTTTCCCTCTGCTTCTTGGCGACCAGTCTAAGGAGATTTTTGGTTTATCCTTGCAGTATTCCTTTCTGCAAATATGAGCAACTACATACACGAGTTCATGCCTCTCCCTCTTTTACACAGAAGGCAGCATCCTACAGGTCTTGCTTTTTCTGCTCGCCAGTAGATCCTGGAGATCTCTCCACTTCAGTACCCAGAGATCTTCCTCATTCATTCTTATGGCTACAAATTTCCACACTGTGTGGACGCAGTCCATTCAGGCAGCCAGGGCTGTGGACATCCGGGTTGTCTCCGATATATATCCTACACGAATGAGACGAATAATTCTGCAGTGAAGAATCTTGTGCACGTTACTTTGCACGTGTCTACGTAGGATTTTTTAAGTGCAGTTGCAGTGTGTTGTGTTGTGCTGTGTTTTCTGCAGTGAGACTGTGCGAGCTGTGCCATGAACAGTTCCATGTCTCAGGGTCCCCGTGCTTCCGTGCAACTTCCCTCCCTCCCAGAATGGGAGGAACACCCACAGACTGACAGTACCTCATCCACTGTAGAACTGCAGACCAGTTCTATAGGCCATTCTAGTATTTATCAGTCGGGTCCGCCCCCCCAAAGTGTGTAACTGGAGACGATGTTAATGCAGGGCCCATGCGCAGAGGTGAAGGGAATCCATAAGACCTGATCATCAGTTTCCTGGGGCTGCTGTAACAAAGTACCACAAACTGGGGGGTTAAAACAAAGGGAATACATTCTCCCATGGTCTGGAGGCCAGAGGTCTAAAATGAAGACACAGGCAGGGCCGTGCTCTCCACAGGCTCCTTCCCGCCTCTCTCCCAGTGTCTGGCGGCTGTCAGCAGTCTTGGCGTCTGCTGGCTCGGAGTCTCTGCATCTGTCTTCGCGTGGCTTCTCCCTGTATCTCGGCCTCACTCTCCTCACTCTCACATGGGCACCTGCCCTGGGGCTTGGGGCCCGCTCTCCGTCCAGGCCAACTTCATCTCAAGGTCTTTAACTTTATTACATCTGCAAGACCCTATTTTAATATACAGTCACATTCACAGGGTCCAGATGGACATACCGCCATTCCACCCACTAGGCCCAGTGAGGCACCTAGTGGACAAACAACAGTGGGGGCCTTGCCCACACTAGGCTGGAGGGAACAGGCCGGGGACACGGCATTCCCAGAGCCGATGAGAGCCGGAGCCGTGTAGGGGGGCGCCTGTGGGAGCTGTGGCCCCCGAGGAGCCCAGCTACTGCCACACCACGGCGCGAGATGAGAGGGCGAGTGTGGGGGTCCTTCACCCCAAACTCTCTCTCCTCCCATTGGCCAAACCCAGCAGGAAGCCAGAGACAAGGGAGCTGGGAGACGGCATCCCTGGGGACCAGCCTCCCGGCCACAAAGCACGGCGGGAAGAACAGGAAACAGACCAGCCAGCCCCGGGGCAGCACCCTCCGTGCCAGTCTCGCGGCCCCTGCACAGGCGCACCCCCTTGGGCTTCTCTCGTTCCAGGCGGTCGACTACGAGCTGAACAGAGCATTCATGCTGACCGTGATGGTGTCCAACCAGGCGCCCCTGGCCAGCGGGATCCAGATGTCCTTCCAGTCCACAGCGGGGGTAACCATCTCCGTCATGGACATCAACGAGGCCCCCTACTTCCCCTCAAACCACAAGCTGATCCGCCTGGAGGAGGGCGTGCCCACCGGCACCGTGCTGACCACGTTTTCAGCAGTGGACCCCGACAGGTTCATGCAGCAGGCCGTGAGGTGGGTCCACAGGGCACAGCTGCCCGCACCCTGCCCTCGGGCCCTCGGAAAGGGGCTCCCCACCCTCGGGCTCCCCGTTTTCCATAAAGAAGAATCCCGAAATGCCCAATGAAACCTGCACCCCAGAAAGTCCCAGGGTGGGTGCTTAGGGGTGTCTTTGACCTGTGGGGGTCTCTCCAGGAGGGAGCAACAGGAGTCCCAGTCCTGGGGACAGCTGGAACCACCCAGCCCGCCTGATACAGGCAGTGGGTGCAATGCCACAAGCGCTCAACAAACCACGAGCGCTGCTGTGGCCTCCACACGAGAAGGGGAAAACGTTTCACAGACACTCAGCAACGTCTGGGGTCAGGCCGGGTCCTCGCCCTGGCTGCACCCTCACTAGCTGCATGATTTTGCAAGTCACTTACCCTCTCTGTTCCTCAGTCTCCCCATCTGTAAAATGGGGACGCTGAGAGTGTCTGCCTCTTGGGTCCCTGTGAGGATAAGTAGCCCATCTACCTCGGGGACTGTGAGCCACTGTTGTCACCATCCCGCTGTGGGAGTGCCCCATGCAGGGCTGGAGGGAGAGCCCCCGGGTGAACTCGGCGTCCAGGCTGGTGTCCTGGCAGGGATGTGCCCCGGGAGGGATGTGCCAGCCGCCAGGAGGGGCTGGGGGCTCTGGGGCAGCTCGGTTCTCCCCCCGCCCCTGGCCTCACCCCCTCACCCCCTCCTCCCCGCCTCCGCAGATACTCAAAGCTGTCGGACCCGGCAAACTGGCTGCACATTAACGCCACCAACGGTCAGATCACCACGGCGGCCGTCCTCGACCGCGAGTCCCTCTACATAAAAAATAACGTCTATGAGGCCACCTTCCTGGCGGCGGACAACGGTGAGTCCGGCTCCGGGGCAGACTGTCGCATGCTCACCCTGCCACATGCCACAGGCTCTGTGGCAGGAAGACCGAGGGAGGCCCGCCCGGCACCTGGAGGGTCCCTGGGCAGGTCTGGAGGAGGAAGGGGTGGGGTGAGGCGGCACGGTGCCAGGTGCCTCCCAGGCCGTCCCCCCCACATTCACTCAAAGCATCAGCCATTCTGCCTAACTCCCCGGGCTTACTCCTTTATGCGAACACACACCCATTCGGCCATTCGCACGGTCGCTCACACACATTCGCATAGGTTGCTCACCTGGAGCACTGGGAACAGGGCCTGGCTCAAGGAAGTACTACTACCACTGCTATTATTACTCTCTGAGCTCCTGCCATGTGCCAGGCACGATTCATCAGTGAACAGAACAGACAAGAGCCCCCTCCCTTGCACGGCTGGAGGCAGGCAGCCCTGGGTCAGGTTGGAGAAACCAGGCTCACTCTGGCCACTCCCGTGTCCTTGGCAAGCTTCAGTGTGGTCCAGAATAGCTGCTGGTGCTCCAGCCATCACGACCACATTCTGGCCAACAAAAGGAGGAGTGGGGAGGGCAAAGGCACATCCCTGCCCTTCTAAGGACTTCCACTTACAGCTGATGAAGGCCAGAACTTAGTCACAAAGCCATATTTTGCTGCAAGGGATGCTGAGAAATGTAGTCTTCTAGCTGGGCAGTGATGATCCCAGATAAAATTTGGGGCTCAGTTTTTTTATTAAGGAAGAAAGGGGAAATGGATGTTGAGGGACAACTTAGCGGTCTCTGCCCCAAGGAGATGGGTGAGAATCAAGTCAACCAGATAATTTCAGGGAGTGAGAAGGGCTGGAAGACAACAACACATGAGGGTGGGAGAGAGCAACCAGGGCCTCCAGCTGTGCACTTGGCTATGAGGAGCTGACCGTGGGGCCAAGACCTGTGGGACCAGGGGAAGATGGGGCTGGAGGGGGAGCCCCATAGTTAGGAAACAGCACGTGCAAAGGCCCCAGGCAGGGTGGGTTCTAGGAACAGCTGTGCAGCTAAAGCTTCGTGAACAAGAGTAGCCGTTGCACCAAGGCTTGCTCATAGCAAGTGAAAGCCAGGACCTGGTGACCACCCACTGGCCTCCTTCCCGCCTCGCCTCGCCTCACCCACAGACTCCACAAAGGGCCACCCCTGCAGCTGGCCCGCGATGAGCCAGGCCTTCTCTCCTGGACGTCCACTCCTCCAGCAGCTCGACCACTGAGATTAGATTAGAGAGTGATTTTTAAGTGAATCCGGGGCCGGAGCGGTGGAAAGCCCGTGAAGACGCGAGGAGAGTGCAAATTCTCCGGTTAACAGAGCCCCTCCATGCTTCTCCCGATTGTGTGTCATCACAGTCGTGCTGTGTGTGCTGTGTGTGTGCTGTGTGGTCACAGTCGTGCTGTGTGTGTGCTGTGTGTGTGCTGTGTCATCACAGTCATGCTGTGTGTGTGCTGTGTGTGTGCTGTGTGTGCTGTGTCATCA